ATTTGTGAAAATGGATATCTAAAATCAGGGCCAGGTGTAATTTCCTCTTTTTTTAACTTTGAAGTTAAGGCTGTATTATTGTTGGGCTCTGGGTTGTATTTAGGACTTTATTCATGTTTGGGTTGTGGGTCTAGGCGCCAGGTTTGGGCTGGGGATTATATTTAAAAAAAATGAGGGGAAAACATTAGGCCTCCTTAAAATATGGGCCTAAAGCGAAGGTGTACCTAGGCGTCCCTAGTAGCTAGGCGCGCTTAGGCGCGCATTAAGCGATCAACATTGTCGGTGGCCTCTTAATTTCCACTTAGGCTCAAAGCGAAGCGTTTTCATCACGAGCACTTCTCTTTACTACACCTTTAAAATAACACTAGAAAACGCATTAAAAATGTTCTATAATCAAAAAATTAAGCCAACAATTAAATTAAATTGGTATAAAACTCGTGTGTAAAACACACTTATCATCTTGTATATCAATGTCTTCAATATTGATGTCTTGTACATTAATATCTTCAAGAAACCTTCATAGGATAAAACTTGATGGCTATAGTAACGTGATGATTCAAAAAATAGCTCTTGTTGATTTCTTCAGGAGTCTCATGTATATAGGAGTATTATTTTGAGAATAAATATTTTGTATGTTATGGACATTCATCACACAAAGAATATGCCTTGTTAAAACCTTATTAAGAAAAACCCTATGAAAAAAATTCTAATGAAAAAAAGAGTAAATTGTCACACTAACAAGGAAGAGATTTGTGATTACATCCACCACATGATAACTTATCTATTTGTACAAGTCTTCACGAAATTCATTATGTAAAAAAGTCATACATTTCATATTACGATTTTACTTTTTCCATTTTAGTTTCGTATAAGTATACACCTTTAAATGTTCAGACTATAGATCTAGAAACCTCATATTTCTCTAGTAAGATTCATTTTACTAGGATCGCATCATTTTATTTGACCAATCATTACTTCAATTGATGTAATGCGATGCACTCATTTCGATTCATCGCTATATGGTGTAGTATATCATACGCAAAGATGTTGTCGATAAATTTTTCTGTTTTCAATTCTTTTTCTCATGAAGACATAACATTTTGAGATATCTCAATTTTCAATATATCAAGCAACTAAACCTTTTCTGAGGTTTTATAATTTATTATGTTTAAATACTAATCAACAATATATGCTTTCTTAATTGAACTATCTTTACTAATTGCTTGTTTTTTGTTTGAAATTTTTTATATTAGAATCAAATATCATCGTACTTCAAGCATGTTATCGAATATCATATTAACTAGTTGTCCTCTAGGACGTAAATTCAAGTTGGAGCATTCAAAGCTACTGTGTGAAATATTAGTGATCTCTTTGGTCAGTAAATGGATCTAAATTAATTATCTTTCAAACTTCCGGTTTGAATGATCTTTTGCAAGAATTTAGATAATAATGTATTTGTAAATTATTTTTCAGTTTCTTAATTCCTCCCCTTAGTGTTGAGAGAATTGTCCAATCAAATTGACAATCAGCAAACTGCGTTATAAAATATCATCTATTTGAGATAATGATTCAAACTACTCATTTATTCTTATCATTCTTTATTTTCAATTTCAGTACGTTGCAACGAATCAATTTTACATATGTTTTACTATCGAAATAATTTGATGGAAAAAACTAGGCTCTAACCATAAGCCAATTATAAGAGTGGAAACTATGATGTTGACATGGTGCATAATAGCAATCCCTAAATAGAAATATGAAGTATTTTATTCTCAGTTAAATTACTTTGAGACGTTTTAACAAACAATAGTGTTAACACTTACTAAAAAGTTGAGATTTAGGTTACTAACATTGACAAAACACGACGTCTTAATTATATAATTTGAAAACTATTATCATAATTTGACTAGTAGTTTCACAAACTTTAGGTTGCGAATACTATACAATCATCTAGTATTTGTATCAAATCTATTAGATATAACTAATATTTAGATGGTCAACATGGTGGATGATGAGGCCCCATTTATCACCCTAATTAGTTTTCAGAAATATGAGG